GGGGGGGGGGGGGGAAACAAAAGCAAAATCCTTCTCCTGCAGCCTTCCTAATCCAAACACTACTTCTAACTGATAGTGTGGCTTTTAGAAACTGTTCCCACTTGAAAGTACAAATTAGCAGAAAACAAAACTATGTTCTAATTCTGAATTTTTTAGAGAGTTTCTTTAGTTCACCCAGAGCTCTCTTCAGCGGAAAGGCTGGGGACAAACCCCTCCTTGTCTCTAAGTGTAGGTCCTGACGTGTAAAATGAGGGGGTTGAAGGAAACATGAAGTCTCCCAATCCTATTTTTAAAATCTAAGATCTCCAGCCAGCGTTCTAGGCAGCAGAAATCAGAATCATAAGAAGTGGGCCCCAGGAGTCTGTATTTCCAAAGCTCTCCAAGCGATTGTGATACCCACCAGCGTGTGGAAACCATGTCACCAAATCATCTGTAAGGCTCCCTGCAGCTCTGGACAACCAAGCAGTCACCCAGTGGGAAAGGGCACAGCCTCAGTCCAGTTAGAGACCCAGACTCGGCAAAACTAGGCTGGAGCAGCTCACTTCCGTCCCAGGTCAGAAAACGCTCGCTAAGGTAGACCACGCAGCTCTGCAGGGGAGTGAGCACCCCGCTGCCGAAGGCATTCAAACAGGGCTGGGTGGAGGCTCACTAGAGATGGGAACCTGCGCCCCAGACGTACTCACACAGAAACAATTATTTGTCGTGTATCTGAGATTCAGATTTAGCTGGCTCTATTGGTGTTTGCAAATCTGGCATCCTTACCCCAGTGACAAGTTTAAAAGGTAACCTTTGACATCCCTTTCAGCTCTGAGAACCTAGGAATCCACAGAAAGAAATCAGGAGGTGCACAAAGCACCCCCACGTCTGGACTCAGTCACATCGTGGGCACAGAACATGGAAGTTCCCTGTGGGGGGCCCGTTGTGAAAAGGGCAGGCTGCCCCAGCCTGGCTTCCTGAAAGAACAGGGTTCCACTAGAACTCAGAAAACTCCTGATTTTTGGGACACCGTAGGAAATGCCTCATCCTTTTGAAAATCAAAACGACGCCACTGTTTGGAGGTTAGGAGTTTGGTTTAGTGATAAAGTACAGTTTTAGTCTCTGGAGGTTCTGTCGATGTCACCCTATCGGATCGTTTACCCATGAAATCATCTTCCCAACGAACAAACCTGTTTCCGTAGTCGATTTTGGCAGTGACCTTCTTCTTTAGCTCCTTGAGCTCATCCTGAGGCAGAGTCCCCGAAAGGATCTGCGAGCGCCACTCGATCAGGTCGTAGATCATGTGCCGCACGCTTCGGAACATCTCCCTGTTGTCTTGCTACATGGAGGGGACAGAGGAGCCCATGTTAAGGCTTTGGGTATAAAAGAGCACTGTGGGTGTGTGTTTTTTCAAATACATATGCGATACACACTTTACATGATAAAATGCAATGTACGTGCAAGTAAAAGATGCTTTTAACACATTCTGGAACACATACGGAATGGGGTTCCCGTCAGACACTAAAAGATTAAAAGGCTGAAAAGCAAGTAATGCACGATCCTCGATATCCCATCCGCACTGCAGACGATGCACTAGAGGCCGACCGGAGAGGGTCCACACCGAGAGCCCCAGAGCCAGCCCGCTGGAGCCCCCTGCCCCCGTGGGCAACGATTGACACTCCATCGGAGTAAGTCTGAGCCTACAGGTCTCGCCTACCCAGTCTTCAGAATCCCTTCGCACAAGGGGATGCCGGCCCCTGGGCCTTGCTGTCCCCTGGCTACAGAGGACCTAGCACCGGCCACTGGAGCCTGTGGGTCAAGCCACACACACACACACAGAGGAGGCTTCGGCAAGGAGCCAGGTCTAAATCTATAAGTTCTGGGTGCCTTCGCGCCAAAAGGAAAACGCAAATAAGATGCAGGATCCACACTTCTTACCACTTTCTACCTATGTCAAGGGATGATACAAAGAAAAGCACCGTCCTGCACCTGCAAGGGTTCAGTTCACCAAGGAAATCAGGGACCATCCAAAGGAAAAACAACCCAGATGTTCTTTCTGTGAAAAGGAATCTAGGTGATGCCGGAGTTGGTAAAATTCTACACACACGAAGCCTATACAAAATTAAAATGTGATCATTGCTACCTGTTAAAATAACGTCTCCTCTGCATATCTGAACCTGTCGCCCCACTATTTCTAGTATTTGACCTTCCTTCTAGGAATTTCTACGATCCCCACCCCCATCCTTCATATAACAACACCCTAACAGGCTATTTTACATTCCATCGACTCTTCTTTATATTATTATCCTAATTTTAATTTGTTAAATGGAAATTAAATCGTCAAAATTAATGGTTTATTGAAACATTGATTCCCTCTTACTAATTCTCCTTGCCCATTTTTCTAAAGCCTTACCTAATATCTAAAATCCTTAATGTTTTGCTAGCGTGTCTACAACAACACAGTAGAGAGAGAGAGAAAAAACTAACAAAAACCACATTTAAAAGTATAAGCACTTTTCTTTGGCTTTGCACAAATCCAACGATGTAAGTCCATAACAGACAAACATAAATTTTTTAAAAGGAGGCCCAGGGGTCATCAGGATGCCTGCTTTAGGGGTAGAAGGCTAAAACCGGGTCCACTGACACATTAGTCAGCATCAATTCCTGTTTGTTTTGCTCCCATATTTTTGTTTAAAAATTGCAAAGTCGAACGTGAAACAGCGACTACGAAATTGCAAGAGATTTACACAAAACATTCATAGCTAACGTTACACTTTTAGGTTTTGGAGAACATTTGATGAACAATTATGGCAACTGCTTATTACTGTGCATTTATAGGAAACCACTGTATAATCAAAAACAACAAGCCTGCCCGCAGAGCAGCTGTGGGACTGCAGGAAGTTTTCTGTGTCCCCGAGAAACCGATGCGGGGACTGCCTCCCTGCACAGCCCGGCCTCCGCGCTGACGGCATTAGCATATGAGAAGAAATCAACAGCTTCAAGAGAAACTCCGGCTAACAAAAGGTAATCTTCTGCAAATATGAATTTATGTGCAAGGAAACGCCCGAGGGAGTGGGAAGTGGGAGATGTCACAGCCCCCACCTCCCTGCATTAATAAGACCTCACCCACAGCCAGCAGAACCAGACAACTGCGCACGAAGCCAGAATGGAAACCATTCCCCACCTCTAACAAACATGCTCAAATCTAGAAGACTATGTCGTTTCTCAAACGATAACAGGCATTACCTACAGCAGCCAGTGGCCAAAAAATAAACAAACAGTAACCATCTTCCACCGAGTCCATCCATACGTACCTATTACAGTTTAAAAGCGGATTTTTGTTTCCAAGAACAAAATATAAACATTGAGGGCACGTCAACACCACTCGCCTAATCCTGTCTTCGAAAGCAAAACAGCCCGTTCACTTTTCAACGCAAGGAAGGCGAGACCGGGGACCCCGTCCCTTACAGACACTCTGCTGCCCTGAGCACAGCTGCACCCCAACACAGAGCAGGTCAAAGGGGTCATGACCCCCCAAGGCTGAGTAGAATTCTGAGCCATGTTGCTTTCCTATCACCCAGTCCAGGTTCTGCTTTTGAGGTTCCCAGGGAAAGAAACCCATCCACCGGGACAGAAAAGGCCCAGAAAGACCACCGTCAGTTGCTTAGCTTCGATTCGCATCCCTTCCTCTCACCACGTAGAGCTGCCTCCAGATGGTGGACCACTCTCGCAGCGTCGTGGTGACCTCCTGAATGAGCGGGAGGTCGCCCGGGATGACCGTCTCATGTTGCCTGGGAAGAGACGAGGGAAGGACAGCTGAGTTCACGGCTCATTAATCGCTGCGACTGGCACCTTATAAATTCCAAACCTAGGCCACAGTTAAATAAGCAAACGGAGCGAGAACACACAGCCAGGCCTGTGTCCGCACCCAGGAAGGCACACATCTCTAAGGGCAACAGGTACCATCTGTACGGAGCCTGAGAGTGTCGGTCCGCCACGCTGAGTGTACGCCGCCCGCCTCCCATGCCAGCCAAGACGGGGCGGCGGGTAACACCCCACTAAAAGTCTTCAGGGCGCCCAGGTCTGGGACGTGGAAGGTGCCTTCGTAATACGTGTGCCCATCTATCTTATACATGCCGTGAATGACAGCCAACCTGTGTGGCATCAAAATGCAGGTCTGGGTTAGGATGGTTTCTGCATTTCCTTCGCACATGAAACTCATTACACTGTAGCACCGAAGCAGTTACCCGCGGCGGACTCGGAGCGAAGGTGCTGCCGCCGGATGTCCACAGGTCCTCCACCTGACCCCAAACTCTGACGACCCCCTTTCTCTTTCTCTCTACCCCAACAGGTTAACCCTTGACTTGTCCTTAACCTGTTATCTAGCTGAGCATTGGCTTTTATCAAATCGACCACTGTTTTCTGGTCACGTGTTCTAGGTCGGGCATGTGCTACGCAGGACTCACAATATCAGGGACTGAGGAAGAGACTGAATTTGTGGCTTGTGAAGTAGACACCTGGCCCCAGATCCTGAACAGTGTTCTGAACGCCGGGGCGCCAATGAACACGGAGTGTTCGGGGACGCTGACAGGTCCCACCTACACATCGTGATTTGTGCTGGGCCCAGACCTGAGGGCAGCACCCTGACCACACTTACGGGCAGGACCCCGACGTGAGCCACAATTGGGGTCCAGGCCTTCAAGGACTTCCTGATGGTGGAGGGTTCCCAAAGGAAGAGACCATGGAGCCCCTAAGAGAAAGCCTACGGGGAGGTCTGGCCACAGGCTCCGGGTGGAGCAGCAGAGATCAGACGCCTGAGGGAGGGGTGCGTACGGGACCACCCCCCACAGGACGGCCTTTAGGAATTGACCTTTGACGGGACATCATCGGTGCCCATTACGAGACGTGAGTGTTAAAACAGCCCTGCCGAGTCTGTGTCCTGGTTTCCCAGGGGGGATGCTGATCGAAATGTGGGTGGTGCATTGGTCCGCAGGGCCATCCCGCCGGCCTCCAGGGGATTCCTCCCCACTCGCAGGGTGAGTACACCCGTCAGCACCTGGGCTGTTTCCATGTATTTATTTGTATTCATCAAAGTGCCTTTTAAAAAAATTAATCATCTGCCATCTGACTGCTACACTGATGCTGACAGAGACGGATGTAAAACACATGGACAGTGATGGGTGAGAGGAGAGGCCCAAAACCTTCGTTTTTTACCTTCCCTTTAAAATTCTGCATATGAAACATTGTATCTGTATAAAAAACACCACATCCCAGGTCATCCCATTCATGCCCCTCAATTATTTCCTTCATCTGAATGAGGTGTCAGGGCCCCGCAGAACCCGAGCTGGTCCTCTGCACACGTTGAAAGTGCAGCTCTTGGGAAGGCAATTTTGTAATCAGCCGGAGAGATGCCATTATGCAGCAATCGTCTGATTAGTAATTTTATAACCTACATATTTGACTGAGAGTGAAGATGGAGCTGCGACAAACAAGGAAAAGATTTTCATGCTCCTTTCTCTCCAGTCCACACCTGGCTATTTGTTCGCCACTCCTGCCTAGTGGGTTCCTCACTCTGCAAACGTCCTTGTAATGACCTTGTACAGCACTGCGATGACCTCTAAGAAACACACACCACAACTGGACAAAATGTAAATGTTACATGTCCCTATTTAACAGCTGCTCTTCACCCTAAACTCCCCTTGCACCAAAGCCTGAGAAGTCTCCCAGGAATGGATTCTAAGCTGGGGGATTGTGCAGCCTCTGCCGGGGGGGGGGGCAGACCACCCAGGAAGCTCAGGGCACCAGGAGGCCCTCCAAATTCAACATGATCAACAGGATCAAGGACAATGACTACAGGTAAGGAGCTGACTTCAGACTCCTCAAAGGCTCAAAACCACATTTAACACAACCGTAAATCCCCCTTCCTCTCCCAAAACTCCTGTCACCCATGGCCAATCACGTCCACCATCCAACCCCCCGAGGGCCCTGGCACTGGGCGGGCAGCGAGGCCGAATATCACTCTCTTCATGAAACAGCAACTCACCCTTTTCCTTCAACAATTGCTTCTTTCAGATGAATATATGAAGCAGGAAATATACCCTATGGGGAGGAAACAAAGACAGTTTTTATTATCAATGTGGACACTGATTGTCAATCAAACACCTGTCCCCAGAAAGGTGAGGGTGGCTGGCTCTCTATTAATTCTGCAAGTTTTACGCTGAGTCTCACATTCAACAGAGCAAAGAAAACAAAGTGTAAGAGATGGCGACTCAGTCAGCTTGTGTTTCAAAGAGGCTGCTGATGTCTCAGGAAAACAGGCAATTTCTCTGCAAAGAGGCAATTCCAGAGGACGTCCTGTGTCTTCTCCATAGGTCGCAGCTGGTTTTCACTGTTGACCTGGACACAGGCAGACCAATAGCCGACTGATGCCCACACAAGTTTTTCGGTGATGCTCTCTGACAGTTACTGATCTCAAAGAGCTAAAATGACCACCAAAATTCACCTGACCCACAGAGACTCTCTCGACAGTCTCCAGAAATGGTTGAATGTCACCCAATCTGCAGAACTACCGGGGGAGCACGGTTTACAGTGCTCTCAGCTCCCCAGGGCAGCTTGCAGTGGACACAACTGACCGGAGCCTAGAGACAGCTCCTCCAGGACTCTCGGGGCCGGGCACAGTCCTTGAAGTGCCAGGAGCTTTACCAAGCGAGCCGGTCCTGCTTCCTGAGCAAGCGCAGGCCTCCCCTCCAGCAGGGATGGGAGGCGAGCAACCTGAAAGGCAAGGGCTGGGGCCTCGGGCAGCACCACACAGACCGGGCACGGCTTCCCGCGTGAGATTCAGGACGTGCGGCAGAAACCATTCAGTAGCGCCGGTGGCTCTGACCCACCTGCTGTGGGAACAGGAGCTTCTGACCAGGTTGCCCTGGCATCTGGCCCCAAAGGATTGACACGGGCCATCCAGGAACCACAGGCACTTGTCATACTAGGGAAGGGCATGGGCACGAGTCCCGATCCTCCTGCCGACCAGGAACGTGGCTGAAGTTCATATAAAGAACTGACACAGAGAGGGAAGGAGTGGGGCAGAGAGACGGGCTGGTCCAAAGCCTCATCTCTATATTAATAAAGCCCTCAGATCAAACGTGGGGCTGCATCAGCAGGAAGGCCTCTTCGTTATCGGAGGGGCGATCAGTGTAAACCACAACCTCCCCTGAAGAAACCTACCCCACCATCCAGCCGGTCTGAATCTAACCTTGTTCAGACCTCAAGGCTCCGGTCGTCGGCTGGGTAGAGCCTGAGGTGGGAGGTGGGGCGGGAAGTCCCGGCTGGAGCCACTGACTCCGAAGCCTCAGTTACAGGCTCCGGACCACAAGAGCCCAGCCCCACAGGAGATCATGAGAGGCAATGTTAGGCAAGAGAAGTGAAATGAAGCATCGGTCCAGCATACTTAGATACTAAAACACGTACAAGTTAACGTGGACAGCCTGACCACAGCTTCAAGCGGACATCGCTTCCAAATCACAGAATGAAACAGAAGAGCCATCGTTGGGTTTGTGAGGCTAAGAACAGAGAAGCCGCAGCAGGACTGTGCTGGGGAGTGTCGGGCACAGGGACCGAGAGTAACTGTCCGTCTCGGCCTCGGAAACTCAAACAGCACGCGTGCCGACCGCCCCGGGGAGCAGGAGCTCCTTCTGCAAAGAGCTACACGAGAGAGGGGAGCGGGTGCGAGCTTCGCAAATCTGTTCATTTATCATCAAGGAAAATGTAGGACTGAAAACCGCGACTGGGTTTCTGGGGGTTTTTGTTGCGGTTGTTTTCTGAAGCCATCGCACCCACATCATTCTTTTGCACACCCTGCGCTTAACAAGGGTGCGAAGCTCCACCAGGGAGGGCCCCGCCTCCCGCGACAACAGGCCAACAGCCTATCGCAGCCCCGCAACCCACTCGCGGGACGCAGCTGCCGTTCCTACGTCCACACCGTGCAGGAGAAAACGGCTCAGGGCAGTCGGCCTTTCGGCCCACGGAGTTTAGATTCGGAGAAAGAGACGCAAAGGAAATCGCGTAGACAAGAATGAGAGAGAACTGATTTCCTCTCACGGGGTGATTTAGGAAGGGACATGCACGGGGTTTAATAAAAACGACTTACCTTCTTAGACTTCTTTCTTAAGGTGTAACCTCTGTACCACCCTAAACAAACGCAAAGTGGAGACGGTTAGTATAAGGCGAAAATGTTCCGCAGACCCTGGGGTCAGCTCGCCACCGGAGCTCAACAACCCTAACGCTTTGGAAATACACTATGGGGTTTTGGAAAGATCGGCTCGACACTGTACTTGAGGCCTGGGCAGTGGCCTGGACAGACAGACACCAGCTCCTTCACCTCCACCGGCCACCCACGGCCTTGAGGGGTCACTCTGAAGTTAAGAAGCACAATTCCGAGATGAGGGTATCCTTTTGCCCCCTCGAGCGGGCTCCTTGAGAGTGCATGGTCCTGTCTCTCCCTGTCTGACCTGGGTTGGGGTCGCTGCCAAGTGCAAACACCAGCATCCTCAGATCATCAGGGGCTGCCCCGTAACAGAAATGCTATTGAGAGCCCAGTTCCTGCCCCTTCAGTCAGAGGATCTGCCCTGGGGCAGCCACGACCTCACAAAGCATTTCTGTGGCAAATGCCCCGGACAGGAAGCAGAAGCCAGGGACCGGGCCCACCTACCCCTCGGGGTCTGGCCAAGGCTCAAGTCCCCATTCCCTGAATGTGAGGAGAAGACAGGAGTGAGGGCAGGAGACGGACACACGGCAGTTGTTGGCAGGAATTCATGCTAAATGGAAGAGTCCCTTCAAAGATGGACCAGACCTGACCACACCCTTGGCACTGACCCTCAGGCTGGGGGCAGAAACTGTCCGAACAAACACCTGTGGGTCCACGCCAGTCACCAGCCTCCCAATAAGTCCGCCACAGCACAACATCAGTGACTGGTTCCTTATCAGGAGCACAGGGACGTCACGTCAGGGCACCTGGCTCGGAGGAAGTGCACCAGAAGCTCAGACAATTCCACGTCTGCCCACAAGAGCAAAAAGACCAAGCAGAGAATCTCCACAAGCACATGGTAAGTGCGTGTTGGGTAAACCCGCTGAGTAACAAAATACTGGGTTTTCATTCAGCATGGAAAAGGCAACCCTTAGAAATCAGGGTGTGTGAATCAGCTCCGAAAAGGAGCACAGGTAAATGCCCGGGCAGGGCCCCTCTTAGGAAATGATCATTTTCACAACCAGAGGCGGGAAACCAGAAAGCGATGGGGCCCAAATGAGCCAGGTCCTCAGGGATGATTTAGCAGCTGCTTTCTAAGTGTTCAGAACAGGAGGGCAGACTCCCGGGCGCCTTGCAAAGGACTTGCTGAGACCTCAGGTGACTGACTGAACCCACTGCACTGTCTTGACAAGGGGACTAAACAGAGCAATGGAGGCCCCGCAGACACGCAATGTCCAGATAGCAGCTGCGCAGTGGGGGGTGGTCTCCCCAGAGCCACGTGTCCATGTCAGGGGTTTCTACGTGCCAGGCCAGTGTCGGTGCCTTCTAGGACGGTGTTCTAGAAGAAATGGGAGGTCAATGAAGTCAGTGATTCAAAGCTACATTTATTCAACCGAAAGAGCTGTCCACTCTTCCGTTACTGTGTCTTTTCTGCATTTCCGTGTGGTGGTTTTTTTTTAGGATTTTTTATTGATATTTTAGAGAGAGAGAGGAAGGGAGAGGGGGAGAGAGAGAAGAATAGATGTGAGAGCGAAACATCGATTGGCTGCCTCCTGCACGCCCCCTACTGGGGATGGAGCCAGCAACCTGGGCATGTGCCCTGCCCTGGAATCAAACATTTCAGGGCACGGATGACCCCAACCAACTGAGCCACACCGGCCAGGGCTTTTCTGCATTTTCAGTATTGATATACCCTTCTATTCTGAGCCTGAGAAGGGATTCATGTCCTAGGATATAGAAGGAAAAACTGCAAAGAAAAAGACAGACACCAAGTAAAATGTGAGCGAAGTTTATAAACAGTGCATAGAACCCTGAAAGACTTGCACATACATGAAGAGACGCTCAACCTTAATAACGACCAGAGACACGAACATTTAAAACACAATATTGCTGCACAGTTATCAGAGTGGTAGAGAGGGGGACACTGCGGGATATGGGTCGCCCCTGGGCACCGTGGGTGGGGATGTACACTGTGGCAATTAGTGTGGGAGCAGCCGTCCCTACTTCTCCAAAGTTTATATCCCTACACCCTGGGACCAGCAAGCCCCCCACCGGGAACGCATCCCAAAGACATCCACACCCCCATCCATGCACAGTGGGAGGGACACAGGATGCTCAAGGCTGGGTGATCCGGGGCGGGGGGAGGTGGAGGCGGGCAAGCGCCCGTCGCTGGAGGGCAGTTAGTAAAACATGGGGAGTGCCCACCAAGCAGTGAGAACCACGGGCTAGATATCCAGAGACAGCAGGAGTGCACCTTTCAGTAGAGCACCGAGGGACAAGTCAGAAACAGAGTGAGAGCTACGAGCGCGTTTAAATACATGAAAAATAGAGGGATGGCAACCAGTCAAAGAACACGAGCAAACAAAACCCACCTCAAACGCAGCGCCGGGCCTTCTACGCGAGGGGGAGGAGAGAGCAGTGAGCTCTGGGGGTGTCTTTTCTTTTCCTTACACCAGCAGAAGGCGGTTAATCTTTTAATGGCCTTGCTAAGCAAAAGGAAACCCCACGAGTTTCCTCCCCGAGACTTTCTGCTTTAATCCTCTGACCACCTGAGCTCATAGGCTCCGCGCCAGACACGGCCCCAGACAGAGCCAGCCTTCAAGCAGATCGGGCCGGTGTCCGCCCTCCGAGGGCTCACAGAGGAGAGGACGCCCCCAGACAGGCAGGGGGCAAACCACAGCCTTGTCGTAACACAGTGGCTGTGGTTTAATCAAAGGACAATTTCCTAATCTCTGTGCAATGCCTGGCGCTCCCTGAGGTTCAGCATCCAGGCCCCGGAGATCCTTACGGAGATGAGAGGGCCGCAGGTCGGGCACATCCGTGGCCACTGAGAGCCACGTAATAACATCAGTGATCCTGGGTGCGCGTGACCCTGGACGCTGGGTAAAGGCAGGGGTGTGCCCTCGATGCCCTCAATGCCCTCGCAGCTCCTTCCGCCGAGACCCGTAAGCTTCCTTTTCCTGTGCTGTGTCCCCCGCCCTCAGGAGCCGGAGACGGCGAAATTAACCATCGCTTGAGGGCAAATTTATTTTGTGAAACTTAATATAAAGAGTGATCCGCGAGAAATTTTATATTCTCAGGAGCAATCTCAGTAATATCCTGAGAAGGATCACACAGAAAAAGAAAATCCAATTTAACAAACAGAAATAAATTTTCATAGAGGAAGGGGGAGGGGGGGCAAGCAGGAGAAAAGCCCAAACTCTAACGCAATCCGTGAAACTTAAACAGAACAAGAGGAAAGAGCAGAAAAACAATTATCCCACTTCTACTGGATGGTAATAAAATCACCAAGCCTCCCGAAGTCCCAGCTCGTTCCCCGGATGCGTTCCTCGGACCGGGTTCTGATTCCAACCAAAAGGCAGTTTCCAAAGGTGGGGAATTCATTTTCCATCAATGAGTCTTTACAAAGGGTGGAGTTTTTTAAACAAAATTTGGCAGACCGGCCCACCAAACACAGGCTCCCTGAAGGGTCCTTTCTCAGGATGCCAGCCAAGCTGTCCCATGCCTACTCCCCAGCTTTTCTAAGTTAAATGTGTAACGGGGATCCCCGACTCGCCTAAGGGACCCCGCTGCTTTAGGGACGTTCTTGGTATGAAGCGAAGGACCAGATGTCACAGTCCCCACACACCCGGGCAGCACAGGAGATGGCTATTCAGGAATGACGTCACTGCCCAGCGTTTGTTAACCCCCATTCCAGCTTCCGCTGACCCGGGGGCAGAAATAAAAAGAAAGAGCCTGTTCCCTTCGGGTCGGGGAAGTGTCTGAGACGAGAGGCTTGCTCCCTACCCGCTCCCTCCCGGCCACTGAGATGGTGCCGGCGGCAGGCACTCTGACTGGCAGCTGCCAACGCTGAAGGTGTGCGCGGGGCGCCCGCCGCTACGGCCCTTTCCTTTGCGGGGTGTGAAGGGTGCAAATGGAATGGGGCTCTAAGCCGGCGTGTGCCGCCTGGGAAATACAGGACAGGAACGCGGGCGTGGGACCAGGTCTGGGCCCGCCGCACGAGCCTCCCAGGACACGGGGCGAGCTGGAGCCTGCCCGGCGCATGAAAGCCTCGCGCCGCTTCCCCAGCCTGCAAAGTGGGTTTCAGGGGCTGCGACTGAAGTCCAGCTGGGTGCTTACGACGGGGTGCCCGCCACTCCTCCCGCTGGAAGGGCCTGGCGAAACCCCACCCGAAAGCAATTCTGCTGCTGGGGTTATTGGTTTTAATCGACGCTCTACGGGAGTCGCCCCTTCCAGTGGGAAATAGAGCCACCAACACTGCAACTCAATCTTAGGAAACCTGCCGATCTGAGGAAAACAAAAACCAGGCCCGTCGTTGCTTCTCTTGTGCGCAGCCATAACCACGGTGCAAAACAAAATAATCTGTAAAACGCTCAACATGAAAAATGGAGTCTGGAAAACCAAGGGCACGGGAAAACCACAGCCTGCAACCGTGTATTTACTGGATAATTCTAACAACTGCTTCCCCGGACCACGCCCCGCAGAGCCGTGACCATCCCTGCTCATTCCTAGGAAACCGGGGTCGCGGGCTTAAAAGGAATGACAAGCCTGGCTCCCCTGAGGATGTTATCAACAGATCTGGGCGAGAGCACAGAGAGTCTCCCCATTCCCATCACTCACCTCAAAACAGCGACTTAAATCCTAAAGTATCCTAAATGCATTTTTTAAAGTTGTTTTTTCCAAGTGCTGGGTTATTTGCAGTGAGGATTCACATGCATTTGCAAAAATGGAGCCAAGGAGGTGTTTTATGTTCTGTTTTGTTTTTTTTAATGTAAACAGCTTTTTCAACAGAAAATTCTAGAGGTTAAAAAAGGAATTTTTGCTCCGGCCAGATAGCTCTGTTGGTTAGAGTCGTCCCGATACGCCAAGGTTGCAGGTTCGATCCCAGTCAGGGCGCATACAAGCAGCAACCAATGATGCAGCGATCAGTGGAGCAACAAATCAATGTTTCTCTCTCTCTCTCCCCCTTCCTCTCTCTCAAAAAAAAAACCAATAAATAAAAAGAGGAGTTTTTACTTTTAATTTCATCTTAATAAAGCCTTCATTAAGTAATGGACAGCCTCAGCACTGTCCCCTGAAAGGGCACCCGCCATGCAAGACCGTCCACCCCGTGAAAAGGCCCGTGAGCACACACGCTGCCCGAGCCAGGGAACGCTGTGCCCGCCGGGCACCGGGAAAGCGTGCCAACTGCCCAAAACAGGAAAAAAGACCAAACTGCATACGCACCTTCATACGTTTCCAAGATGTGAACGGTGTCTCCTATCTGTAAAGAAAGTTCGTCCGCTCCCCGGGCGTCATAGTTATAAAATGCTGTGAAGACAAGAGGGGAAGGTGTCAGTCGGGGTAGGAAGACCGATGCTGCCTGTTTCTGCTTGTGTTTTATTGGGGGGAGTATTTTATTTATTCTTTCATAAATTTTATTTTTTCCATCAGCTTTTATCCCCTGTGCTCTCTTCCGCCTGCACCCATCCCCTGCCCCGGCAACCACCACACTGCTGCAGACGCCCACAGGTTCACTCTTTTTCACCCAGTCCCTCCACCCCCTCAAACCCCAAGTTTCTGCTTGTTTTTAATATTAAAATACATTCCATCTTTGCCTGAATCATTCTCTCTGACACCCACAAAAGCAGCCTTTGCTTTCAAGAGGCAAATATAAAGGGTCATCATTTAAGGAGAAGAAATCCGTAACTACTCATGATACCAGACAACCATTAAGTGATTTTTTTTATTGTGGTAAAATATATATGATGTAAAATTTGCCTTTTTAACCATTTTTAAGTATATAATTTAGTGACATTCGCTATATTCAAATGCTGTGCTACCATCACCACTATTAGTTTCCAAAACCTTTCATCACTCCAAACAGAAACCCCATACCCATTAAGCAATCGCTCCCCACTCAGCCCTCCCCCGAGCCCCCGATAACCCAGAACCTGATAACCTGATAACCAGCCACCTCACACAAATGGAATCATACAATACTGTCCTTGGGTGTCTTGCTTCTTTTATTTAGATGTTTTCAAGGTTCCTACATGTTGTACCTTGTATCAAGGCTTCATTCTTTTTATGGCTGAATAATATTTATAACAGGAAGAAAACTGAGGATACTATTTTCATTATCACTTGATATACTCTCTTATATTTCCATTAATAGAATTTTTCATTAGATGACTTCTTCCTAAACTATGAATCAATTACACCCGGACTGAAAACACTTAGGAAACCAAGTTGGTTTTGTTTTTTTGGTTTTTTAATTTTTTGTTGTTGTTGTTGTTCAAAATACTACAGGTGTCCCTTTTTCTCCCCACTGACCCATTCCACCCCGCCCCACCCCCCTCCCCAGTCCCTCTCCACACCACTGTTCCTGTCCTTGGGTTGTGCCCATACGCATATAAGTTCTTTGGTTACTCTTTCCCCCTCCACCCACCCGCCCCCATCCATCCCTCTGAGATTCCTGTCTGATCCATGCCCCATGTCACTGAATCATTTCTGTTCATCAGTTTATTAAGTTCTTTAGATTCCACGTATAAGCGAGATCGTGTGACGTTTGTCTTTCTCTGCCTGGCTTATTTCACTTAGCATAATTTTCTCCAGGTCCCTCCATACTGTCCCAAATGGTACGAGATTCTTCTTCACAGCTGCGTAGTATTCCATGGTGTAAATGTCCCACAGCTTTTTTATCCACTCATCTACTGGTGGGCACTTGGGCTGTTTCAAGATCTTAGCTGTTGTAAACTGCTCTGCTATGAACATAGGGGTCCACATGTTCTTTCTGATTAGTGTTTCAGGATTCTTAGGGTACATTCCTAGAAGTGGAATCACTGCGTCAAATGGCAGCTCCATTTTTAATTTTTTGAGGCACCTCCACACTGTTTTCCACAGTGGCTGCACCCGTCTGCATTCCCACCAGCAGTGCACCAGGTTCCCCTTTCTCCACACCCTCGCCAGCATGTGTCGTTTGATTTGTTGATGGAGCCATTCTGACAGGTGTGCAGTGATACCTCATCGTGGTTTTAATCTGCATCTCTGATCATTAGCAATGTTGAGCACTTTCTCACGTGTCTCTTGGCCATCTGTATGTCCTCTTTGGAGAAGCGTCTATTCAGGTCCTTTGCCCATTTTTTAATTGGATTGTCTTCCTCTTGCTGGGAAACCAAGTTGGTTTTCAAAAAATCATATAACCAATGTTGATATGAAGCCAGGGAGCTATGTTACAATCAAACGGGCAAAAATATGCCCAGCATTGAGAAGAGATCCTTAAAACCAGCAATGCGCGACACATCTCTAAAATCAAAATCCTTATCCTGGCACAAATCCGCCCCTACTCCTCCAAGATGAGCGCCTAAAAACGTGACTCCATTAAATTCAGACCACATTTGTGCTCACACATTATGGGATAAAAGAACTGTCACCGTGAGAAAAAGACATTAGAAAGTGTCAGAGAGCCAAAAATTATTCAATTAGCCCAGTCTCAATTTAAAAAATATATATATATACAGAGGTACAGGAATGTCCCTCCTTCCCAATGGGTTCCACCTAAAATGTCATCCTCCACGTAAAACTCATCTCCAAGAGCCTGATCAATTTCTCGTCCATCCATCCTGAACACCCTGCCAGACTAGGCTGACCCTACGTGGCACCTTTCCTGTGTCCATCTCTAAAATTCTCCCTGTTCATGTCATGTGCGAACTCCCTCAGTGGTGTGGTGAGCCCTCCAGCACCTGGCCACCTCACCTCACTGCCCACCCTGAGAGAAAGACGCCAACCCATCCCGCACCTGGGTGCGCCAGGGTAGCCTTCCCTTGCCAGCTGGGTCTTCCCCCAGGTGCAACCTCTTCCAGGAAACCAGGTCCAAGTATGTTTGCTCTTTCAACCCCCTTTTCCAAACATCCCCAGCACCACAGCACACATGACCCCTGTCCTCAGCTCCATCACTGAGCCCCCGACGTGCCAGCAGTCCCGTCTCTCAGGCGCATGCGGCCTCCCTGGTTTTCATGCCCATGGACTCTGGAGCCAGACAACATGCAGGGAGAAGCCTCTACCCCTGAAGAACTCATGACCTCCAGCCAATGACCCACCCTCTCGGTCATCAGCTCCCCTGTCTGCAAAACAAGGATATCAATTCCTACACCTCACGGGATTGTGTGCATGCTGTGTCTTAAAATCGCGCCATTGACGGATCTGGTGACTTGGCGAAATGGGGGTCCTGCAGTGAACCACACACAGTACGTGGTCAAGGCTCTCACTGTGGTCGGGAGTGTTTGTTTTTACTGCAGTAAAAGCTTCTATTGCTACCAGAATCCTTTTTTAAAAGCCAGAGCCAGCACCCTGTCACATGTTAGCAGGAACCCTAATACATCAAAAGCCACGTATATGTAGAAAACTCCGTTTTCACAGGTATTTTCCTGTATTTTCACCAAAATTCATAAAAACTAATGGCCTCGACTGACATAAATGGTTATTAGTAGTTACTTAGGTTTATTTAGCATTTTATGGTGAATCTTTAACGAGAAACAACTGCATTAGGTACAGGAGGCTCAGAGCATATGCTGGCCTTTCCCAACTCAGCAAAACCATACTCCCAGGCCTAGAGGAGCCATAAATGCATTTATCACCGCCCTTAACAGCATCTCTGCCAGCGTGCCAATTCTGTTACAGACATGGAAAAATAAACATGTCAGAAAGAATAAAAATTAAATAAAATGAACGCGTCCACCATAAATGCGCCCAGGCCCGCGTGGACCTGTGAGGAACACGTGCAGAAACCCTGATGCACCTGTCCCCCATCTCTGAAGTAGGCAGGTGAAAACAGTTGAGAAAATCCCATACATGTATACAGAAACCAGATTTAACTATGCGGTGAGCCTTAGGACCTCTGATTTTACGGATGATGGGCCTCCGGGGGTTTATGCACGTGACCCCAAACGACAGAGCGTGATCCTCGGACCACAACCCTGGCTGCCCAGCCCCCCACATTCTGTTCTTCTTAGATTCGCTTTCTAAACAGTCCTATATTAAAGTCAAAACAAAAGACTCAACTTTTTAAGATTATTGGACAAGGGGGTGGGAGGGAAGAGGGAAGTGTGGTAGATAGAACAGTGGTCCCCAAAGCCATCCACGTCTGAAACCCCAGACGCTGTAAGGATGGCACCTTACATGGCAGGTGTGACTAGGTTAAGGGTCTTGAGACGGGATGCTCATCCTGGATCACCCACCTGGGCCCAGTGTAATCTCAAGGGTCTACACAAGGGGGAGACGGGAGGGCAGCTGCAGTCGAAGGGAGCAAGAGGGGCCACAAGCCAAGGGATGTGGGCACCTCCACAGGCTGGGAAAGACAAGGCCAATGGGCTCTCCCCCCGAGACTCCAGAAGGAACCGGCTCGGCCTGCACCCTGAGTCCAGGGCTTCTGGCCTCCAGCACCAGAACAGTAAGTGTGTAAGGTTGTGTTGTGTGAAGCCCCTGAAGCTGTGGGGTGGGGTTACAGCAGCACTAGGAAACACAGGGAGGTGTGACAGAGGGTGTAAAAGGGGCGCTCTGGGGTCTACGTATTCACTGCGCAAGGCCGCGGAGCAGGCACCCGCTCAGCTTGGGGTTCCCCGGCAGGCAACCGGGTCCATGCACCCCTACAGCCCACCCCTGTCCACAGCGCGGGGCTAAGGGACTTCTCGTTCCTCACACAGAACTCGCCTTGGGGTCACTCCGCAAACGCAAGGTTGGGTTTCCCATGTTAAACCAATCGATTATCCGAGTCAAAGGCTACAAATATCACAGAATCATCCTGATCGGTGCAGAAAAAGAATTGGAGGAAACGTAATCCCTTTTAAGGGAAAAACAATAAACCTACCTGACTACTCTGACATTAGGGGGGGGAAAAACAAATACTACAAGCTACCCAGCCATTTAACAGAGTCCCACAGAGAGCAGGTGGGACTTGCTCGGGGTGTCACAGTGAATTCAGCAGCCCTGGGACCCAGGTGCTTCCTCCAGACTGTCTCCACCACCCCACCCTGCCGGGCTCCAGTCTTCATCATCTCTCCCGGAGACGAAAGGCTATTTTGGCTGGTCTCCCAGCTAAACTTATATTAACTGTATAAAAGCTCTTTTCTCTCCATCACCGGAGTTATCTTTTTAAACTCTTAGCCTAAAACGCTGCACCATTTCCCCCGGCTTTCTGAATAGCCGCTAAATTATCCGGCACAACATTCAAAGTCCTCCGGTGAGATCTGACTTCGACCCAATCTCCTCTCTCTCCCCACTCCACCTCCCCGCAGCCCCGGGCCCTGCCATTAGCCACTTCCACCCCCTGGGAAGGCCCCTCCTCCTGCACCTCTGAAGACCCCTGTTGTGTGCAAGGCCAGCCTCTAATTTCACATCCTTCTGCAGATCCTTACTGAATTCTGACTTTCGCCCTTGACCGAAAACAGGTGCACGCATACCTGAATTAACTGCTGGCCGCAGCCCTTTCCTATAGGCTCTGTCACATCCCACAGCCTTG